CAAAAAAAGTATTTCCGATTTTAATTATAACCAGCAAGTTTTGTTATCATAAATTATAACTTGTTTAAACAAAAGAAACTTACAATTAAAGATACCTTTAACTGGTAAATTCTTTTAATTAAAATCGGTTGTTTACATGCAAAAACACACAAAAAAGAAACTTTATAGTTTCATGTGTTTGTAATTAAAAACATCCTGAGGTCTATAACGGATTATAGGTTGCATTTTTACTTAAGAAATTACGACAATAGTCAACTTTTTCTTTAATGGCATCAAGAACATATGGTTCCTAAAACAGATTACAAAAAGTATTTCTACTAAAATCCCGTATACTTCAGCAAAACATTGATTAAGACACTATACAAAATATACTGTTAATTGAAAATACTAAAAAAACTAACAGTGTACACATAAACAAAGGCTATATCTAAAAAGAAAACTGAAAATGTAACGCACAATTCCACACAAATAAGTAAAGTACTAATTTAAAGAATTTACAAGTACCTTTATCATGTATATATGGAGCAGTTTCTGTAAGAACATTTCGTTAGTAATCTGAAACAATAATGTGCTCTTATCACTTCGTGCGATGTATTTACATTGTGGAACAACAATCAATATTATATATTAAAGTTTGGTTGATATATTCCAAACAATTATGGATACAGGTCAAAGCAAAATTTTATATATTTATACGAGAGTGACAACATTCGTGTATACAATATATATATATATACATATAACAAATAAATTTCGTTTTACATATTTATTTACAAGAATTAAGTGAACTCATACAATATACCATCGACAAGTCGTAGTCTGAATATATGTTGTTAATAATACAATTTATTATTGGTAGTATGTTCCCGTCTCTATCAAAACAAATAACACAAACGTACAATTAGTATGTAACGTTACTAATAAACATTATAAAACATAAAGTAACACAACACTGTTTGTTCCAAAAATAAAGGTAATATACAAACTATGCAGATAATGTAAAATACATATTTGTATAAAATATTTTGTATAAAACTTCCTATACATATAAATTATTTTTTGTACCTTACTATTCCAGATTCTAATCCAAATCTTATCTTATTTAGCGCTGAATCATTTTTTGAATGCAAAGCAAAAATAGTGAAAAGTACAGTAATAGTATCACTTTTCTTTGCATTTATAATATTTCGAGTATTATTTGTTTTTGCAGTTAAACTACTTCCAGGTGTTGGTAGAAAATTACGAGCAAGAAAATAAAGAAAATTATACATATCCTCGTATTTTCTAGAGCAAGGCAAAAATTCTAAGAATTCTGTTTCTTTTCCTTGTGTCTGGTATATGTTACAAATTTTTTGCCACAAAGCAGATTTATCATAAGTGACAGTTTCTAACATTAATCCTTGGCAATATATCCATTTCTTCCAACTTGGCAAAAGTCTGGAAGTGAAAACCTATATTACTTCACTTAAACATATATAACAAGTGAGTCCCAGATGCGCACAGAAAATGGCAAGGTGTATTAATCGGACACAGTAAGAAACGGACACACGACAGACTCAATCGGACACAGTCTTAATAGGACACAGTTTCAATCGGACACATTCTCCATCGATACACTAGTATTAAATCAAGATTGTTTCTTTTATGTGTTTTTTGTTCGTGTTGTAAGACTGCAGACAAGGGAGGCTGCGCCCTCTGTTCCCTCTAAAAAATATCTAACCTAACCCTAACCTGTGTTACTACAATATTAATAGGAATGAGTGTAATTTTTGCGAGAAGGATGCAGGAAAAAGAGGTTACGTTAGGGTAAGGTAGTTTTTGGGGGCTACACGCTTACAACACGAACAAAACAACATAAAAGAAATAGAGTAAATGTATCTTAAATAAGGTCAATATGAAAGGAATAGTCTTGATCTAACACTAGTGAATCCGTTTGCGACTGTGTTCAATTGGGACTCTGTCTGATTAAGTCCGTCGTGTGTCCGTTTCTTATTGTGTCCGATTGATACACCCTGCCGTGTCCGTTTGATTCTGTGCGCATCGGGGTCCTTCTCTGTATAACACTACGTACAAACTAGTTCATTAATGCTAGTAGATTTACTTTTTAAGCGTAAAAATGTAATAAATCACATGTCAGACACGCAAGTATAGAAAATATAAGTCCAATAGCAAGATGACGTTTTTGTAACATTATCGGACTGCACCTTGCTATTAAGAAAGTAGAATTACGTACTTGTTTTGTGCAGGATTTTTAAAATGCCATTCTAATATTCCATTAACATGTTCTTTGCATTTTAAATCACCGAGAATGCATGTCCATTTTAAAACTTCATGATAGAATTGATTATTGACACTATTTTCCGAACAAGGAGTACATGATATATTATCAAGAAACCTATTCAATATTACCAGAAGTTTATCCTATAAAAGCAAAATTTACTAATAATTTAATTTTTTCTAAAGTATATGTATATTCGTAAAGATTATACATTTTTTCATTTACTATTTATATCTATTGCTTATACTTATTTTTTTTAACTTTTTTGTACCCACAAATATCAAATACTAATTGTTGTATTACATAGCACACTAATATTATATTTTCTATAATGACAAAACAACAAATATTCTAGTCTCATGTAAACAATCCATTTTTTAATACATTTATAAAGATACAATTGTAACTTAAAACATTATAGAGTTCTCCTTTAAAGTTATTTCAATAAACCAACAGGAGATTGTGCACTAAAGATAAATATTGCGAACAAATGTTAGAAAATCTATTATTTGAAAAAATTTTTAAATTGTTATGTTTAGTTTTTGCAGTAGTTAAACAATAATACTTGAAAACAGTAATAATTAACACTGAGATTTATCTCGGGCTCTGTAAAGTCTTAAACTAATAATTAAATCTAATAATCATATAGGATGCTCAACTTGCATCTTGTATATGAGGAACCCCGAATATCCCTTCAAATTAATTTAAAATATTGCGAAAAAACTCCTTCATATACGAAATGCAAGGTGAGCATCCTATATGATTATTAGAATTGTAATTACAATTCAAAACCCTTACGTAAAAAACGTGAAATCGATTATATATGTGTACACACGCACATACATATATAGACATATTTCCCGCATATCATCCAGCGAACGGCTCTCAACGACTTATCATTCATTTATTAGTTAATTAAAAACAGATTTTATGTAAGTATCAATTTCTTTCTAGAATTCTACGTATTTTTGCGTTTTATATTTTAGCTTTATATACTGTTCTTTTGATTGGACATATTTCAACCTAAGAATAACGTGTTACAAAAAAAACTTTTGCCATCTACTAAACACGATCTCTATTTACGTATTTATGCATTTTATCAGATAAATGGTTTACGAGAACAAACGTTGACAACGACATTAAAACAATGTGTTTTTTATTCTTGGCATATTACTATATAATATTCATGTTATTTCACTTTTGTGAACTACGTTTACAGGAAGTGTGAGTACTATATAGCACTTTTATATGTTCTATTTTTTGAACTATAACAATATGTTTGTCAAACTTCGACTCTCTTTTTTATGTTTATAACGTTTTCTGTTCAGTCTACTAGATATTACTACGTTCTTTTTAAATTTTGTTATATATTTTTATTCTAATATATATTCTTTAATTTATATATTGTTTATGGTGTCGCTTACAAAAGCACTCTAAAGCGTACTATATATATAACCGTTCCGTAATATATATATATTATACGAAAAACTTAAAAAACTTTTGCCATCAAGTTGATAATGACCTTCCAATTATTGAACTTCTTAATGTACTGTAATCTTATTTACCTTGATATTTCTAAAAAGAACACTTTCTGGAAACGGAAAAATCTGCGACATATTTTCAAGAGCAAAAAATATTGGATACCACATTATGTAGGAATTGTTTGCATGAAATATACTGCTTGCAATTTCGAAATATATGTCTAGATCACTAGTATCTGAAATAGAATTGTCGTTATATTCTGTATGTTGCACCAAAAAATAAAAAGCATCGTCTAATATTTGTGCTACAGTGACGTCAGATAAATCAGTGATCTTCAGATCAACAGTTTTTAAGAAAAAAGCAATTTGCGTCCAAGATTCACGGTCATAATTGACACGATATCCTACAACAAATAAAAGTTTAGAGAAAGTGATAAAGAGAAACAGAGGAAAAAAAACAGGTATTCTACAAAAATAATGAACAACTTTAATAACCTACATGTATAATAAAGAGAAACTTAAAAATTCATATGTATGTTAGTACATTACCAGTGGAATCCGCGACAATCACAATCTCATTTTTATTACTCAGCCATGAACGAATATATGTTTTGTATGGTGTTAGGATATCATTATACGTGACACTACGTTTTGTCTGTAGTATTTCTTTAACAGTCACAGGTATCCGCCAATTAAGTTTGCACTGCTTTTTGTGATCAACGGTAAAACAGTCTCTGACAGACATTGCTACATGTGTATCATTGAGTCGGTTTAGTTGTAACACAAGATAACCAACTTCTGCTGTCCATACAGTTAGTATTCTTTTTATGTTTTTCGGAAAGTATGTAGACTTATTTAAGGACGCCTCAAAATTCCAGTACCATAACTTATCGAGAAGTGGCAATTCATTATATTTGGTATCTGATGTAGTATCACTGACAACAGATATCGTAAGAAAAAGTATAATTTTGATGTTTGTCATAAATATGAGTAATTTATATTTAATGATTCTTCTCATGACAGTAATAGTCAGTATAAAATATAAATAGTGTAAAGACCAATTAATTAAAAACTGTCGCATTACTCTGCACTTCAGTGAATTGTAAATACTTACGTGTTATTATATAAATTTAAGGCGTTTTTAAACAAAGAAGTATAGAAGGAATCTTGCACAAATAAGGTACTAAGCATATAAAAGATGCTGAATGCTACAACATAGTTTAGTGTTAAACTTTTTATAGTTTATTCACAAAAAAATATGTATAGTAGTAAATAATCTATAATAGTAGAGAATAAAGTACTAAAATAGTGTTGTTCTTTTAAACACAAATAAAACTATAAACATGTACTTTTATATTGATTTTTGAAAATATTTGGTACCAATATATATCACTGATATACAGATACCACTGACTATTTGCATACTTTTTATAGTACATACTGAAGATATATACAACTATCTCATAGTGCTATTACCTTGTGAACATAAAATTCATTACTTACATGTACTCAAGAAATTTATTTCTCTTACCGTTTTCTCGCCACATTTTCCTAATGGTTGAATTTCGAGTTGTACAAAACTTTACTTGAATTGCAAAATCATACGTACTAAATGCTTCTGCATAATCCAAAACGTTTCGTCGTGTCTGGACCACAATTGACTTTATTAAACTCTATCAACAGTTTTAATAATTATACGATTACATAAGTATAGTGCGTAAGTATCTACTATAATAATGTATTAAAGTTTTCATATAAATCGCAATGATATTTTTCACTAAACAGATAAAACAAATAAACTAAATTAATAATAACACAATAATCAAGAAAAAATATATGTACATTATTTCCTACACATTCACATAATTATATGTTTATGCTTTTCTAATATATTAAACTGCGTAAATCTTCAATATAAGTAAAACAACTATACATATTACTACTGTTACAGAAACTGTCTCAAACTATGTCTGAAAATATGACACTTTTTAATTAAAAAAAATATATAATACTTTTTTTTACTTATCACATTTATATTTATGCACAACTATTTACAATAAAACTGCACAATATTAACCTTGTCCCAGATATAAACTCCATATACTGTTGAAAATCCTTCAATAAACCAAGAATCCGACTGATTAAATGTAGCTACCCACTCACTGAACATTTCTTGTATCACATTTCGTGCAATAAAACATGTTACTTTGCTTTCTTTAATAATTGAATCTACTTCGCTGTTATATATACTGTTAACTTCACTAAAAATAAAAATAAAAATGGTATTGCTAGTATAGTCTCCTCGTACGTTATAAAGTTATTTTTAAGTTCAATTTTGTATCGTGAGTTGTGCATCTCACCTCAAAAAAACAAATCCAGGAGTTATCATACTTTCGTAACGATTAGAGGTTAAAGGCAATAGCACGTAATAAACATGCGACCGTGGTGTGATATTGTCCCACGTGTTTCTGAGACTTATGAAGATATTAATAAGAACAGTTTGTGCATAGTATGTGTCATTTCTCATTTCTAAGCTGCTTGTAACGGTAACGTTAGTCCTTATTCTCATAGCTATGTTATATACATTTGGTATAACAACAAATGCAACCAAATGCGTAGATATTAGAGGTGTGGTGAAAAATGTTGTTTGGAACGCATTTATTACCGGACCCCAATATTCATAAGGCATATTCGAAAGAGCTGTATCACTGTGTTTGTGTATAATTTGAATGGTAAATCTAGCTTTAGTTGCTGGATGTTCCCAATATGGAAAAATCCATTCATTTGGAATACGCGATAAAATCAGAAATCTATATAATAAAAATAAACTATTATCGCAATACATAAGTACAGTATCTATGAAATATAGTACGTTACAAAAAGTGCTGATTTAATAGTAAACCTTTCTTAATCATATTTAAAGAGAACACATGTAGAGCTACTAGAATAAAAGTCTATTTAGAAAAAAAGACGAGTTTCAAAAAAATATCTGTTTTTTAATTGTATTATAACATGACTTTATAAAATTAGTAAATGTAAACGTCATTCTATAAAATAATAGTATTATGTCATGTAACTTAAAAAACTGTATGTAACAATATTTAAAAGGAAAAATATTTGTCAAACAAATTATCGAAATAATATTTTGATAATGTTCTGTACAAATAAATTTTGTCTATAATTGTAGTATAATAATTGCAGGAGTATACAACTAATAGTATGTAATATAATAGCTTTGTATTTGAACTTACTCTTTCGTTTCAGTTCGACTTATGTACGTGTCAACCGTGACAAACTCCGTTACCTTACATTTATAGATCGAAGTTATCACATATTTTCCAGATTGTACAGGGTTTTTCATTTCCTCAAGTACACGACCATAATTAGGGATTCTGTTTATTTTTATGGGAGTAATATCCACACTTTTGAATCGATTTTTGGCAGTATTTGACTGTGATACAGTGACTTCCCAATGTGATATATAGTCATAGAGTATTGCCGACTGAACATTCACATTTTGTATATAACAATACCGTCCGATTTGTAATCGTATGTCTTTTTGTTCACATGACACGTTTAGCACAACCGTAGAATTGATGGTAAGAGAAGTGTTTTGTTTTTCTAAAGAAATAGTATAATTTATCGGTTGTATACACTGCGATGTCCGAGATAAATTCTCGTCAGTGGAAGAAGCAACTCCAGTGACAAATATTAAGCTTATTGCTCCGAAGAATATAAGCATCTGCGTAATGCGTATCTACAAAATTATTTTGCTTGTTAAAGAAGAAATACACATACACATTAAAACGAAACTCTTACGCAAACATTTATTATAACACAAGAGTACTTTGCAGTATCAGAAACAAAAACAGCATTTATAACTGTGTACTAGAAAGTGGAAAAATATAAATATGTTTATATCTAGAATATCTTACTTCTATCACATATACACATCACAATATTTGTCACACTTGTGGTGTTCCAATCCGACATACAAAACGACGATTTGGAAAATTGGAACGTATAAGGAACAAAAATATGAAGATTAATTGTATACTACACATTTTTCACAAAATTGATTTGAATTTGATATTACTTCAACAAACAAAATGAAGAAACTGTGATAGAGAAAACGGTTTACTGTAGATTTAGCCTGATTTAAATTAAAAACTGTGTATTATACACCAAACAAACAATTTTTAAGAAATCGTACGAATATTGTATGTAGTATTCATTTCAAAGATAATAAAGAGTAATAGTTTCCTGCTTGCTTCCATGCTTCTATATCACCCAAACAATATAATGCGCTTGTGAGATATTGTTCAATCTATGATTTTTTATATTTAACTGACCGAGATATATATATATATATATATATATTCGTATACGATTAGAGACACAGAAAGAAATAATATTTTACAACAGGAGCAATTTTCCAAATAACAATATAAAAAGAAAAAAATTTACCATCTTTTGTATAGTGAAATCCAATACATTAAAACATAAATCTCGTATGAATATTATTGCGAACTACTAGTACACAAAATTGGAAACATATTGCGCGATCTTCACTCTTCGAGAAATCCTCGAAAACTAAGAACCGATCGTTCCTGTCGAATAATATCGACATGTCACGATATAAACATCTCTGTTGGGAAATACGACCTTATTTTGTTCTCTTCTACCTACATAAATAATGATAGAAATAACGGTTTTAAATGTATTTTACGGTTAAAACGTACAAGTTCATATAATAAAATATACTTTAATATATACAGAACTGGTTTTATTTCATCCTACACGCAAAAAAAAACAGGCCAGTCAAAAAAAAAAGTTCACAGGTGTTCGTGTGTGAAAACTGGATTTCTTTGGTATGATTGAATAAAAAAAAATTTGTCGTCCGGAAAATTCAGTCTTTATCGATTGTCTAAAGCGATTACATTAACAAATTAATAAGTCCCAATCAAGTGTATTATGTAATTATACAAGAGTGTACATATTTACAATAATGGTCAAAGTTTTTTGTGTTTAAAACAGAAATGTTTTCTGTTTCAAACACAGAAATTTGACGCCCGTTGATTAGGTTACGTTCAGTACGAGCGTGTAGTTTCGGATATGCTTTTCTTCGACATGTTTTCTTTCTCAACATATGTTTTCTTACTTTTTAAAATCTCGTTGATGTGCTCTAAAATGTAAAATTCAATAGAACACATTTCAAATGTAGACAATCAAACGCAATACTACCTTTGTGATCAAGTACATGAAAGTGATTGAGAGCGCTAAATTACTGGTTTATATTGGGTATATTTGTTTTATCACGTCCCGAAGCAAAATGAAAACACTTGTGTTATTTCCAACAAAATGTATATTACAAAAAAATTTTATTTTTTCTTTACTGAATTTTGTGACGGCTTAAAGAAAAGTCTATCTGAGAATGTTGACTTTAAAAGTTTGTCCAAAAAGTACTAAAAATATCGCAAAACATTGATCGTGCTTATCGAAGAGCATTTGCACCACGATTTGACTCTCGAAAAGCTATAGGAAGATTACTTAAAAGGATAAACGATACAAGGTGCTATCAGAGCGAATGATGCTACATTACTTGTTTAAAATACAAAATTTATCGAAACGCGATTAGCGCTAAACTATCCGTGTGCTATTGGAGACTATTTCGATCATCGAGCGATCTCTTATACTTGAAAGCTATAAGTCGCGTTAATTTGAAAATCGTGTGATTCGTTTGAATAGGCAAAATAATATTTGCAAACGGCAGCATGTGATCACCTGTTGACAAGA